TTCAGAAATGTTTATTAAAGCAATATCATTAAAAAATAATCACTTCATTTTTAGATATGGATAGATGTGCTTTTCAACCTCAAACATTCTATTTTTTGCAAATGTAAACCTTGCCATTAGCCAGAACTTACATTTTAGCCATAAATTAAAAGAGAGTACAAGTCAGCAAAAAATACTCAGGATTCTGAAAATACAATATAAAGAAGACATCTCAAGCATTTAATTAATCGGAAAGTTTAACTGAGCACAAACCAGGCGTTTAAACAGTGGTAGATACACAGGGTATTGTAGTGAAGAAGCTTCATCTCGTTGATAAAACAAGATACACGAAAAATGACAGGGAACTACAAAGTGATTCACAGATGTGCAAAATAATGCAATACTGGCCCCAGCTGTAATAGCAAAGTCTGGATGAAGGAGTTGGAATTGAGTCAGAATTTGAACAATGGGTAAGATTCCAATTGGCAATGAAAAGGGTATTGCTATAGGATGATGCAAAAATATGAATATGGGAATAAATGCAATGTGTATTTATTCTAGCTATGCATTTTCATACTCTTCTGAAAATGTAAAAAATTATTATCCACAAAATCTGACAGGAAAGTAAAGTCTGTTGACCTTCAGCACTATATCTATTTTTATATTTAAAAAAAACAACAACACATTTTTGCTATCAGCTCCCAGGTAAACTAACAAGTTTTAAAATGGTTTTCTACTTTAAATTTTTATTTTTTAATCATCCTAAGTTTTTTTAATATATAGAAGTTCTCAATATTTTACTCTCTGTAGGACAATTTTTTTTGGTGCCTTATTACATTGCCACCATCTTCCGTATAGTTAGTGAACATCTATTTTGTTCTTTAGGATTTAGTTTCCCTTTACTTTTTAAAAAATTGAACAATGCAGTATTACTTCCTTGTGCTTATCGCTATTACATATGAAGCCTACTATACTTTGTCATAATTTATTCCACATTTCCTTTGATTCTACGTTGTAAAACATCACATTTGTCTTATTCCTGCACAGGAGGAAACAGACCAATTTGAATGTCCATTTAGTTACAAAAGGTTTTATTTCTATTTTTTTCCTAGTGAACATACAACAAGAGCTGCCCAACTCAAACATGAATAAATTAATTTAAATCCAAACTGCCATTCATTCAATTGCCAAATAAATAACTTCAAGACATGAATGGCTCCAGTCCCTTATCCTCTCCAAGAGTGAGAATACTTTCTTGCTGGTGTTTTATGGAAGAAAAATGGAAATTTAAAGTATTTACCGTTTCCAGTTTCTCTGCCTTAAGGCGAACGGAGGGATTTAGAGAAATCTTCTTTCCTTGTGGTCCGTAATTATCGGATGAGGCAGGGGCAACAGCTAAAAGACAACAGGGTGCACGTTAATTGGAAATTTAATTGGAATAGAACTTTTCATTTGACAGGATGTGTTCTGGGCTCCTGCTGTTCAGAAAATAATTCTGGTTAATCAGTTGGCAGCTTTCACTATTGTTAACATGATTTGTTTTCTTTAAACCTAAAATGTATCAGACCAACCGGCTTCACTTGAGTCCTAAAAAGAGATGATATAAAAAGAGTGGCCAGTTATGCATTAAGTCCCATGGAAATATGAATTTAAAAGACAAACATACATCCTACCACGCTACCCTGGCATCACAATGCCTTACTAATTGTAAAATGAAAAGTCTTTTTTTTTTTTCCAAAATAAGTAAAGTCATATGAGAAATTCCAAAAGATCATGATATTTCTTTGGCTGGCAAAAGTGGTTTTGTTATGGAAGTTCTGGAAGTACCATAGAAAAACTCTAAAAATGCAAATTGCTTCAAGGTTACACGTAAACTATAAGACTTGGAACTTCTTGAAGTAAAAGTCCTATTTCTTATTTTACAGAAGGGTTCTATTTCAAGTAGCATAAATGCACTTTCAAGAGTGGAGCTGTATACACCTCTCACCCATTCTTTAACACCTTCTCAGTCTATTCTAATTGTTTAGAAGAGCCTTTGTCCTTTTTGCCTGAATTAAGAAACCAGGTGCCTCCTGGGACCAGAACTTGAAAAAAACTATTTATTTTAATATGCCAAAGTTTGTAAAACAAATTCCTGTAATTCGTGTCAATCCTTGTATCTACATTGTCACTATTCTAAATACACTTTTAAATGGTATTTTACTAGTTCTACATAGAAACAAGAGGAAGAGAAAAAACTTTTTAAAATGTCACATCTTTATGCAGTGTTTTAATTTTTTTTTAATTTCTCAGAGCATCTGTCTCTAAGTACAAAATGATTTGCATTCTCTTTCTTCAGAACATAAGAAGCACACATGAAAATAAATGGTCTTCCTCTAAACCTTTAACACATCCTCAACAGTCTATGTAAAATCTTGAATATAGCTTATATGTGTCAAGATCATAAAAAAAAAAAAGGCTACTGACTTTTAGCTTCAAACGGAGTCAAATGCAGAGAAAGACTGATTTTAGTATAAAATAATTTTTACAATTCTGATAAAAACACACTTTCCTTTGTTACTGTGATACCTAATTGTTGGCCATGGGATAAAAAATATCATCTGCATTATTTTTTCTCCTAATGTAACCACAGAACCAGCTTACAACAGCCCTATCCTGTTTCTAACAAGATACTGAATTGCTCTTCAGCGACAACAGACCAAAAGCACGTGCAGGAGAGACCTCTGACCTCGAGGTGCACCCCGAACCAACGTCTCATCCCTCCATCACGGAAACGAAGGGCCAGGACATGATCGGAACTTGAACACCTGAACCCTTTTGGGAGTAAACAGTCTGCTGTACAGGAAGATCCAGTGCTGAAGCCCCTTACCATAAATGGCCAACTTCCAAAGCACTCCAATCAAAACCTCACTACTAGCACATCCACGTAGCAGCCCACTCCCCTTAACCTCTAACCCTCAATCTTTCCCTTTAAAAACGCTTGATTAAAAGCCATTG